CTGCTCTGTGGTAACAAACCTTTAACCCATTCTCCTTTCATTAGAGCATGAAGCCTTTGGTGTTCAGTTATAGCATCAATGCACTCCTGTATGGCAGGGACAAATGRATGTTGWTGAGGCTGTTGTTGCAGATTGGGTAAAGGCAACTTTGCTGCAAACAGAAGATCCACATGAAAACATCTAAATATAGGCATGACAAACAATAACTAGTGATAGAAAAACAAAAGAAGATAATAACAGTGTATGAGCAACTGACATGCAGCAGTATCAAGAGACTGCACAAGAGCAGCACGTAACTGATGAAGGAGCCCATCTTCGTCCAAAGTAAATGTYGGTTGCCATTCTTTAGACCCATCAATTGGAGAGACAGTAGTAGGAGCTCCAGTGTTTGGGGAATCACTTCCTACTTTATTGACAGTAATTAAGATACCAAGTTTGCTAGCTGCTTGCATTACCTGAAAATATAAGAACACTAGATGTGATATAGGGCCAGAGTATATAAGCAGATAGCTACGGGCATCTAGTTGAATCAACTTTCTCTGTTATTTATTTTTTCTCTGAGAAAAATGTAGTTGAATCAACTTTCAAAATTGAAGATCTTATGAAGGGGGCCCTTCAAATGTTTGGTTGCAGCTCCATGCTTGTCCAACATGGACTTGCATGCATTGATAGACTATCCTATTAACATGGCTAAAATTCTACATTTCAACTATCACTATAAAATAAGAGACCTGAATATGACTGGTTTCAATCTTGTCAAGTAGTGGATTCAGCAAAACAGAAGAAAACCATTGCCTGAGGCGGTCACGCCACTGCTCGATCTGAGGGTAGATGCCTAGATTCTCAAAAGCTTCAATTGACTCTTCCATTGACATTGGCATAGGAAAGTCACCTTCTCCTTTCTTTGGTGGAGTACTGAACTTCTGGGAACCTGGGGACATCCTTACAGGCCTAAGTGGTGTGCTTCTTGTAGTTCCAGAAGTAGTTGCTGAATTGGTGATGCTACTAGGACTGGCTATGCCAAAACTACCAAGGGTGGCAGGAGGTGTCCCCACCAATTTAGATGCTGACTCTGTGATTTTTTCATCTACATCTGCCAAGAATTGCTCAAGCATTTCCTCTGTTGCGATCTCAGCTGCAGTGGAGGGTCGTTGCTTTGACCAGGGAGTTGAGATCAGTCGGTCCATAGATGGTGAGGCCTGACCTGACGGACCCTGCAATGGAGATGAAGGGACAAGGTACAAAGAAGATGGAGAAGCTGGGGATTTTGATGGAGTGTAATAAGCACTCATCTTATTCCCACTAGTGGTGCTTGACTTCTCCACACCAACGCGGGATGATCGTATTGAACTTGATATTGACTGATGAAGTGGAACAAGGACATCAGGAGAAGAAGCAGAATATGGTTTAGACTTTGGGGGCTTTTTTGCAGAGTCAGTACCGGCCCGTGCATCTTGCTTTGGCTTTGCACCCAAAAGTCCCAGTTGACGCTCTGTGAGGCCTTTCTGCCCCTTGGCTCCTTTAGAAGGCGATGCAATTGATACATCTACAGCATTTCGTGCTCTCTGCAAGAAAAGTGCCCTGATGAGGGCAGATAGTGACCCCAGGAGTACCATACCCACCATAATCTCCATAGTCTTGGTAACAAAATCTGGAAAACAATAAAAATAGTATCATAAACAACAGTACCGATCAAGCATACAAACAATCAGTTTGAACTTGGGGAGAGCTTACAAGCTGTAGTATGGGAAACATGTCTGAGTTTCAGATTGTTGATGAGCCCATCTTCCCTTGAGCATATACAAGCAAAAATAGTGTCAGTCACCTGAAGTTTAGGATCAAAGACAGAAAATAGATGGACACTACTAGAACTCAAAACAAAGTTTTTGAGCTTAAATTAATGATTGTTAATAAAACTATAAACGCAGTCTTCGGTAAACCCTGCCAAAACCCTAGCTCCTATTTCAAGCATTTGTAAAGGAGCATCTCAGACAACGAAACGCATCTAAAAATATTGCAATGAAAACAGAAACTCCAAGACGTGAAACCCCTAATTTTTTTTTTCCTTCAAACCAATGGAATTAGTAACTTCTCAGCTCATTATACGTATAGTATACAGAAAAGGGATCACTTTTCTAGAGACGCTACGATGAAGCGGTAAAAGGAAGAGTTGCAACCTGGAAATGACGCTGAGGAGAATGAAGGCCGAAAAGGTTGAGACACAGAAGATGTAGAGAAATGCATGTTTTGTAGGGCGAAGACTGTTGGCAGTTAGAGCAGCTGATAAAGTTGGATTTTGATACACCGAGAACTTCGAGGGTCTCAATGGCGGAGAACTCCTCTCTCCTCCCCCTCCTTTACCTTCCATGTCGAAGGCTTAGGGCTTTTGCTCTTAAAATCGAGTACTGAACAAAATAGTTTGGTCCTCCATTAACGAAACCCCTCCGAAGCTCTTAGCTGCTATACTAGCAAGCCTTTAGCCTTGTTCTTCTCCTCAAGTTCAAAATTAAAAAGCTCTATTTTGGTGGGAGATTGGCAATGCGATTCGCGAACCCTGGATTGCAATTTGCAAGCAATTTGCAAGTATGCAAGTTTCAACCGTGGTGCTTTTGTTCAATAGGTCCCACCTGGTAGAAAATCGAACGATATTAACCGTCTGATAAGCATTACTGTGCATCTGATGAAACACCAAAGGATTGGAATCTCCATCATTTGGGGAGGAAAGTAGGGAAGAGCAGTGCTAGGAAAACGGGCTGTGTGTTACACACGGACCTCTAAAGCACAAAAGGACAAAATGCCAAGATAGCAAGGCTGAGGAATGGCAACAGCCAACAGGGCAGGGCAGCTCAGTTCTTACAAAATTTGTCCTCACAGGACTTGCAGCCATGGAACATCGTAATGGGATCTGCTCCCGACAAATGGGCGCCTCACAGGCACATCCACCGTGCATTAAGAACATTTCCCATGAATAATAACTAATAAATACAGGAGATATTTCCAATGCATTATAGGATATGCGTGAAACGCCAGGTGTGAGTAGCAGATCTGGTCTCTGGAACATTTCCCCATAACTTATAGAGATGTTTCAAATGCACATGTGAGGACTGAATTTGATATCCTCCCTATCTCCATTCATGTGAAAATATCAATCTCTATCTGATTATGGACAAGGATTTCTTTATCCTATCTCCATCCCATAGGGATCTGACGATCTGCTCCTCACAGAGCATGCCTCACACCTATCTTACAATATGTCCTGGTCATACATTAAGAACATCTCTTGTATTTATATTTATTATTTATATGGAGAGGTTCCCAATACAAGGTGGAATATGGCTATGGTTTAAAGTATTGATACACCTCTCTGTATCTGTATATCGGCAAAGACATATCGGTATTTAGATACAAGTGAAAATACCTTTTGTTTTAGTTTTTTTTTTCAACATTTGTTTTTTTAGAAGATATTTAAGAATAATTTTATTAAAAAAATAGTGAAATTTCAAAACACCTATAAATAGGTGTGTCGGACCCTAAATACAGTACACCCACCATATCAAAATTTTGAACCTTGAATGTGATTGTAAAATCGGTGTGAGGCGTGCTTTGTGAAGAGCATATCCCAATTCTAGAGATCCCACTCCATGCATTTTTTTTTCCTTTTGGGTAAAAGACTTATACCTCTCTTGAGGTTTCTCCACAATGATGAAACCTACTTTGGGTTTTAAAATTGGACTAAGACTTCCCTTATCATAATTTTCTCAAATAAAACCATCAACGAATCATTTTCACCCTTTTAATTCTTCAAAATTTCAAAATAATAGAACTATAGAAGCCAATAGCACTATTGGATCTCTAAAACTGGATTGTTTGTAAACTAGAAAGTCCGTTGAGTAAACCTAAGGCATCCACCCCCAAAGATCGAACAAAAAAGAATGCTTCTAAAGCTGTTCGTGCCTCTTGTTATTGGTACTAGCCAATCTGGGAAGCCGTAGGGCCTGTCCACAAATGAAGTCCCTTTTATCTTTTTTTTTTTTTTTGATAATTACTCCCTTTTATCTTGAATCACCACTCCCACCCCTGCATGTTGTTCACTTCAAGGCCCCATAGAAATTTGCTTTCAACCCTCCAAAAGGTAATTTCTACCAAGAGATTCGGGTAGGATTGTGAATTCTATCCCCACTGTTATTGGATCAAATCGAATAAATGGATTTATAGAGACTCTTCTAGATATGCCAAAGAACCACCTTTGCTTTAGCAAAGGTAGAGACCAAGTAGCAATTTTAGGATTGTCCACAAAGGCTTACTCTACAAACCACTACTCGAGAGATTTGCTTAGGTAAGTAACAATGCGAATGGATAGGTATGATGATGAGAACCAGTTGCAAATGGAATGCACAAAAGGGAGGTTTTTGTTTGATGACATCACCCCACAAGGGAAGTCATAGTCTAACTTGAATGTTTTAATATTTAGAAAAAACCTCGAGGGAGGTTTAAGTCTTTTGATATCGAATTGACATCATTTTTTATTTATATCTCATACCAAAAAAGTTACAATTTATAATACTATCAACATAAATCCAAGTATATTCAAATATATACAAACATATCTAACTATATTTTTAAAATATTAATGTGGATTTATTAATTAATTCATAAGAAAAACACAAATGTTCGATATAAATCCCAAGTTTTGGGGTTCGTGGCCTTAGACCCATTTATTAAAAACCTAAATATCCATGGTTTGAAATGATATAAAGAGAGAGAGAGAGAGAGAGAGGTGATCCCCATGGGTAGGGATTGGGAACCTTGTGTGGTGGTATGTTGTGCTCTCCGGTCCCTACCAATGGTGAAAGAATGGATCATCAATGGATAAAAATGGGGATGAAACTTTCGTTATCCTTGTGCTTGTAGGGAAAAATGATCTCCATCCCCACTCTATTAAGGATTCAGGAAATGGGGAAATTTGCCCTTTCTTTGGTGAAGGAATTTGTCGAATGCGGGTTAATAAGTGGGTTATGGCGACTCTCCCGAAACAATCACCAAGGGGAAAATGAATGTTCTTAGATGGAATTGTCAGGGTTTTGGGACCCCTGACAATTCATGATGTGGAAGAGGTTCTAAGAGTGGAAAAGCTGAAAACATTTTTTTTCGAGTGAGACTAAATCTTCTTTATTAAATTGCAATATGAAGCTTAAAATGATGAAAAGGTAGAACTATTTATTAGGTTGTCAGGAGACCTAGCTCTTTATTGGGACCTTGATGTGCAGCTCAAGTGTCTAAAGCTTGTACTTCATCCATATTGAAATTATAGATAGTGAGTTTGGCATTTGACATTGCAATTTCTTGCATGGTTTTCAAATTGTCATTGACCCACATAGTTCCGTTTTACACCAAATCCAATCTTGTGTCAAAAAATGTTGATTTGGTCAGTGACCTACTAACCCGGTTGATCAAATCATCAATCCATTTGATTCAGTGAATGATTTTTTTACCATATTTCGTTCCAAATTCTTTTTTTTATTATTATTATTATTAAAAATTGTAATGGGCCATCCATTTGGACTGGGTGATTAAACCGCTGACCCGAAAACCAGTAGCCAAAGTGGTTCCGATTCTATGTTGGTTTTTAAAGAATTAAAAAAAATAGATCAATTTTTATATTGTTGGAAAAAGAACTATCCAATGTTGTCGTCGTGTTGTGGTTGTGGATGGGGGATCTAAACATGATTTTTGACAACAATGAAAATTAGGTGGGGAAGTAGTTAAAAAAAAAAAACTGATTTCAATGAACATATAATTTGTGAATGAGGTGGTGGGTCTTTAGGAAATTAGAAGTTTTGGCCCAAAATTTACCTAGACAATAGAAGAGGAGGAATTGGCCATGTTAAGGAAATTCTTGATAGAGGGTTGAGTAATGCTAAATGGAGGAATATCTTCAACGATGCTTGGCTTAGTTACATATATTCTAGTGGTTGTGATAATATTGAATGTGCTAAGGTAATCAAGGAAGAATGTGCTAAGGTAATCAAGGAAGTGTGGGAAGAATATTGAAGTGCAAGGCCTTAAGGAGATCCTTTAGGAAATGGAATAAATATGTGTTTGGGAATATACAAGGAAAAATTTAGGAACTATGAGAAAAAAAAATGCTCTTGAATCCTTAAAACCCCTTGGGGAATACAATCCAGATGAAATAAAAGAAATAGAATGGGGATTTGTATGCTTATTTAAAAATGGAGGAGATTTTGTGGGTTCAAAAATCTAATATTAGTTGGCTGAAGTGGAGAGTTAAAAAAACAAAATTTTTCCACAAATTTGCCCTTAGGAAAAGGTCCAGAAATAGAGTTATAAAGATCAAAGTCAAAATGGGATATGGGTTGAGGGCCACCAAAATGTTTTAAAGACCTTGCCTGACTATTTTGAGGAGCTTTCTACTTCATCTAAACCAAATGACATTGAGAAAGCCCTAAGATCTATGAGATATGCTATCTCTAAGGAGGATGTAGTTGGTCTGGAAAAGAAAGTTACTGATGAGGAAATAAATCAAGCCTTGTTCCAAATGGAGCCTAGAAAGGCTATAAGCTGATATGGTAATCCTAATCTCTTTTATTATAGGCTTTTAGGGTATAGTGGGTGATGATGTTAGAATGGGAGTTAAAGAACTCTTTAATAATGGGTCCATGATAAGTGAATTCAACTGCACCTACATAATTCTTATCCCAAAAATCACCCACTTGAAAGAGGCAAGCCATTTTAGACCAATTAGTTTGTGTAGCTCTATTTACAAAACTATTCCAAAAATTTTAGTTAACAGACAAAAGCCTAAGCTCGGTGCTTTAATTTCTTAGAACCAAAGTGTTTTCCTTCATGGAAAATACATTGGTCATAATATTCTAATTGGCCATGAGATTTTTCACTTTATGAAAACATCAAATTGGATATGAATAAAGCATATGGCTGGGTATAGTATGACTTTGTGAGGAGAATCCTTGAAAAGATGGGGTTTGGGGCAAAGTGGGAAAGCTAGATTATGAAGTGTATAACTTTCGTGTCCTACCAAGTTCTGGTAAATGGTATCCCCCCATCAAAGATCAATTAATTGGGGTTAGAATGAATAGAGATTGTTCGACCATTTCTCATCCGATGATAGTAATATTTTCACAACTGCAAACTTGTAGGAAGGGAATAACATTATGGATTCAATTAATCTCTATGAGAGAGCATTGGGCTAACGGATGAATCTTGTCAAGCCTGAAATTATTTTTAGTTCTAACTTGCACCCTAAACTTCATAAAAAAAAATGGCTAGGAGTTTTCACCTCAAAAGAATGAAGAAACCTTTAATATATCTCGGCCTCCCCCTGATGTTGGAAGGTCATAGTGCACCCTATTTAACTTTTTACTATATAGGGTCCAAAGGAGGACCGATAAATGGAAGGATCTCTTTTCCCAAGCTAGAAAATAGGTGATGCTGAAGTCTATGGTCTTTGCCATTCTAACCCATTGTATGTCTTGTTTCTTTCTCCCAAAGAAGGTGTGATATGAGCTCAAGTTAACTAAAAAAATGATGGGGAGAGGTAAATGGAAAAAGAAAAACCCACATAATAAGTTGGGACCAAATTAATAAAAACAAGATGGATGGTAGTTTGGGTTTTTGTGACCCTCTAGCCTTTAATAAAGTTTTGTTAGCCAAAATGGTTGGAGATTTGTCTCTAAACCAAATAGTTTACGGGCTAGAGTTATGAAAGCAAATTATGTTAAAAACTAGAGTTTTATTAGTTCTCAGTCCCATTTAAGGGTCTTGGGGTTGGAAGAGCCTTCTAGTTGGTAGAAACACCCTCCTTGAAGGGACTTGTCCATGAATAGGGAATGGGGAGAAGGTTGATATTTGGAGCTCTCCATGGATTATGAGTCTTGAAGGTAAAAGGACTCATGGTCCTATGCCAAAAAACCCCAAGATAAAGAGAGTTAGAGACTTAACCTCTGACTTAGGGAATCAATGGAATGCCACCTTATTAAAGAGAACTTCCTCCCATAGATTGCCCAAAAGATCCTTAAAATGAACTTAGTGGGTAATAAATGGGAAGATAAGCTCTTTTGGCTTTCGGATTGTCATGGCATATTCTCTGTTAAATCTGCATACTAAAGAATCTTGAAGGAGTTAATCCTCATAATTAAAGGGGTAGGATTGTCAGGAGGCATATTTGGAAAACCATTTGTTTATTACATGTTCAACCAAATTAAATTATTTCTCTAGAGATGCTGTTTGAATGTTGTTCCAGTCAAAGAAATTTTGGTTAAGAGATATTAGAACTAAGGAGGAAGATGCAAGTATCCTTTTGCAAAGTTTGTCAATTATTAGGGCTAGGGGTGATCATGGGCTGAGTTAGGCCGGGCCTGGGTTGGGCTTTGCACTTATGATAAGGGTTATAGCCTAGGCCCTAGCTTGGACCCGGTCCAACTCAGGGTTCTAAGCCTAAAATATAAGCTCGAGCCAGGTCTACACGAGCTCAGGCCAGGCTGGGCCTAGGCCTATATCTTTCATATATAAAATATTATGTATAATTAATATTTTATATTAAGTGACATATAACATGCATATAAACTTATTTTACACATTACGTAATATAAAATATTATATACAATATAAATTTTACATGCCATATTATAATGTTTGTATATAAAATTTATAATATAATATAATATAACGTATATATATATGTATATATACATTATACATAAAATGCGTATGTTTAAATATATGCGGTTCGAGCTGGGCTTGAAGTATTAGGACTAAGCCTAGCCCTAAAATTTATGGACTTGATGCAGGCCAGGGCCTAAACACAAAACACAGGCCTAAGCCCAAAATTTCTAGGCCGGGCTGAAATGATCACCCCTAACTAGGGCCGAAATTAGGATATTTTATTGAGGGGCAAAAAGCTAGTAAACATAGGTAGGGGCAAAATCTTGGTGGGATTTAAATAGGTATTATGGAGATTTTCAAGGCATTGGGGGGGTGCATTGCTCCCCTTTGCCACCCCCTTTGTCTCTACCATATCGATCAGCAAATTGGCCTGCTCATGTGGCAACTAAAATGGGGTTGAATTATTTTGCTTGCCATCGGGTGGTTGGTTGAAGGAGGTGGTGCTTGAAGATGTGTGTTAATTGGTGTTTGGTTTTCGTATATTAATAAATTTTGTTTTCAATAACAAAAAAAGGGAAATTTTTTCGATTAGTACCTTGTATTTTGGGCCTAGTGCCACCGAGGTTCAAAATATCGATATAGGCCGGTGTATCAACCTGCATCGGTACTACTTTTTGTGTGTTTTTTCAAAACTGGTTCTTAGGGGGCGGTTTAAGGCCGGTCTATCCTCTAAGCCACTTGCTGACTGAAAACACCCCCTGTAGGGGCATATCGGGAAAGCTCCGATACGATACGTATTGGCCAATACTTGATGAAATTTTGATCATTGAGTACCACTTTGGTCCCCAAACTTAAAAATGCAACAATTCAGTACTTAAACTTTCAAAATGTGTCAATCCAGTATTTGCCATTAACCAGCCATTAAATGGCATTTGAAAAGGATACAAATGCTCATTTGAGTATTATCTAATTCTCTTTATCAACCGTCCAAATACTAACAAAAATGAACATTCCCAAATCCTTACATCTTCTATTCAAGAAAATTAGAATTACGTGTCAATGGACATTCTAGTAGAAGAAATAAGAATTTGGAATTATTAATATTTAGATAATTAATAAAAAAAATTAGATAACCTTTAATAAGAATATTTGTGTCTTTTTCAAATATTATGAACGGAAGTAATGGATTTACACATTTTGAAAGTTTGGGACCAAAGCCGCCTCCGCCCAAAGTACGTGTTACTAATCCGGAATTAAAAAAAAAAAAAAAAAACTACCATCTACCATTTTCGCATTTATTGATTCGTCTGTATGCATTGTAGTTGTAGACTTGTAGCTGGCACTAGTCCGCGTTGGACTCGATCTTTCGCACGAGGAGAGGACACGATAGTGTTAACAATTTGAAGTTTGAAAACAACACGTCTCATCCCAATTCCACCTCCGCGATGACTGACTAACTATTTCTCGGGGGATTATTGTTGACTCGTATCCATATCTTGATTTAATCAGTAATGGACAACATGTACACGTATTCATTTTTTTTTTTCGCTTTCCCCTTTCCCTTTACCCTCCCCAACCCCTGGTGGCAGCGAGATTTGATCCCAAGTATCTACTCCGACGAATCAGAAAACCTACCAACTGAGCCACCATCGGTTGGCACGTATTCATCTTTTTCCTGTTATCTGTTATGTAAGCAAGCCCAAATAAATGGAGATCATCGCAAAAAATAAAAAATCTTTCGGTCCACTAAACGAACGGATACCATACCAACGTCTGTCAGACCAAGGGAAACTGAAACTGAGCTAGGGGCCGTCTGATAATACCTGGAATGGCTGAACTGAATGACTACTTATTGCTTAAGCGGTTAAGCCCCAGGGCTTTTGATTACAGATGAAATAATAAGATCAATTGCCAGTACCTGTGTCCCTGTCTCTCAGTCTCAGTTTCGTCGCAAGACAAAAAAGGTGTGACTCTTCAGCTTTATTCTGTGTAGAGCTTACAATTCTCGTTGAATCGGAGAGCTTGGAGATGCAGAGGTTATGTGCAGTAAGGTCTCTTTCTGGTCTTCTCCGAAAGCGGAGACAACACGCTTGTTTTTCTACTTCTCTACTTTTCGACGATACCCAATTGCAGGTTTGGAATCTCTCTAATATCTACTTTTATGCTGTTAGAGTTTTTATACTTTTTTCTAATACATCCTGTTGCTCCAGATTCGGCGGTGTTTAAGTTTAGAAGATTAAATTAAATGAATGATGTTTGGTAGAAGCTCGCATTAAAGAGGTCATTTCAGGTTCTCTTGAAAATGAACTTCAGTTTTCCTAACGACTGAAAATGAATTCATTTTAACTGGTCACAACATGGGTTCAAAATGCTCTCTAAGACTAAAGCGAAATAATTTCTAATGCAGTGTTAAAACGTAATATCAATCTAAATTTGGTTTTGCTGCCTGCCACTTGGTGAGTTTGGAGTGGCTAAGACAAGATATTCCAATGAGATCTCAACCCTGAGATCACCCCTTCATTCTCTTTGTTCTAATTTTGGAGTCAATCTGTTAACTCATTAAAGATGGACTTTTGTTTCAGTAATACAAAGAATCCCTCAGTGCCTTCAAGGTCATCATAGTTGAACTCTACTTTTCATTTTATCATGAGTGATGATGTCAATCGTATTAAGTACAGATGAAAAAACTTTATAATATTGTATTCGATGAGACTTTGTTGGTGGAAGCAAGTTTTGAATGGAATATTTATGCATTTATTCAATTTCAATTCTTTATCTCTTAAGATCTCTGTGTTTTCTTATAACTTTTTTTCGTTCACTATGCCTTTTCAAATTTATTTATCCCTTTCTATTCCACTTATTCAACTAGTTTGTAATTTTGTATAGTTTCAATCTAAAATTTAGCAACGCGTTTTTACTTTAAATTGTCAACAGTTTACTTTAGAGTTAAAGCACTATACTATTTTCCAGAAGTTGAAATAATGAATGAAATGTGGATGAGCTATTTTCAGTAATTGTTAAACTGGGAGATTAATTGTAAGGGAAGTTATTAACTCAGAATATATGAGATATTCTGTCTAGTTTAAGGGAATACGAGTATTGGAACTTGAAGAACATTTATAAATGATGATTTTGGTCTGTCCTGGTTGATCAAGCCACTTAACAAGATAAAAAGAACAAAGAAAATACCAGATGAATAAAGGAAAAAAAATTCCTAACTGGTATATTATCATGGCCTAGGACACTTATGAGGGAATCACTGCTAGAGAACAAATGACAGGATGGAAAGCAATGCAGTTATTACATACTTCAAGAATCACATTATGTTCATATTTTTGTATGCATGTGTATGTCATGGAGTTTAAGCAGAAATGCATATAAGGGGCTCAAGAGGCATGTTATTTGCAAAATGGCACAATTTTTGTTGACAAGGCTAGATTACAGGTAATACAAATGGTAAAACTGGAATTCTGCAGGGATGCTTTAAGATATAAGGGCTTCAAATAGACCAAAGGGTTCGACTATGATTTGGAAAAGATATGATATCTGAATCATAAACGTGGGTGGGTTTTGATTGGTCAAAATATCTGACCAATCAACTAGAATCATAAACGTGGTAGCCAATCAGGTGTTATTCATCAAAATTCATGGGTGGGTTTTGATTGGTCAAAACTCTTCCAATACCATGTCTTTCCTGCATCATAGATTTTCCCTAGACCAAAATAGAACAAATAAATGCATTTTCAATAAAGAGATGAGTAGAAATGGAAAGTTAGTTAGATAAAAATGACAATTTATATTGTCTTAGTACTGTTATCTATAAAAAAGAGAGGTCATAGAAGATATTTCCTTAGAAATCAGAGCTTTAGAGCTCGGTTTATGAAGTGGTATGCTTCTAGAATGCTGTGAGATGATGAATGTGAAACATACAAGCAAATCATATGGGATGGTTATAAGGCTGACCATGCTTAGAACAATTTTAAGAAATGAGAGATTCATAAACTGAACATAACTGGGATGTGGGTGTCAAAATGGGCAAGTGGCAAGATTAGTTGGGGAAAAAATAAAGTGACTGCATCAAAGGAAACTGAGGGACGGTACTACTTGTATGAATAAGACAAGAGAAAGTCAGTTCAGATGGTTTAATAATGTGAGATGAAGAAAATTCATAAAAAAAATCATGAGAAATGAAGAAAGGTGCTGACACTAGTGAAGAGTGATTGGTTCAAGAGAAAGAACATGGATTCAGGTGACAGGAAAAGACTTGAAAATTTGTTCATTAACAGAAGATGTGCCAGATAGAATGGATGAATGGGAGGTATATGGCGGACAATAAGTTGTTGATGCAATAACGATGCTAGCCACAAGGCAATCAACACAAACAATGATGCTAATGAGAAGAATAATTTGCATTTTAATTAGAAAGTTCAGCCATGTTGAACTTGACTTTTGTAGTGGCATCTTAACTATAATGGAAAGTTTTCTTTGCTTGTCTTCTTGAAGGATTCCATGACTAAAGTTCAAAAGTTGTTCAAGATGTTTTTTTTTTTTTTTTTTAATTCTTTTTGTACTCCTACCTATAAATCAGTTAACATGAATTTCCCCTATTTTATAAGATTTTCCCCCAGTCTATGGTTGTCTTCTTATGGTTATCATTTGTGATGCTAACAGTTTAAAGAAAGTGTAGCACAATTTGCACAGGAGAATATTGCTCCACATGCATCAAAAGTGGACAGGACAAACCACTTTCCAGAGGTCTATCCAACAGCTCCTAAAGTAGTACTAGGATAGTTGCTTACTGTAGTTTATTGATTATGACATTTTCTTTTCTCAGGAGGTTAACTTGTGGAAACTTATGGGTGATTTTAATCTCCATGGAATTACTGCACCAGGTATAGATATGCAGAAATTTTCTTTTCTATACAAGTACTGTAGTTACCTTCAACATTATTGGTTACTTTATCATTTTTTCATGAAGTTGTTGTGCTTTTGACACCTTTTTAAATATGCTTGTTTTCTGTATATTGAGCATGCTTTTTTACTTAATCTTATTTTGGCATGGATGAAGCATTAACCAGCCAATGTTTGTAATCAGCCAAAAAGGTTTCTCAAAGGAGATAAAGTGCAAGGCAGACTGGCTAAGCTGGTAGTTTTATTTGAATAGCACAGTTTGAAATGTTTCAGACTTTCAGTGTAGAAATTACGAGGATTAGTGCTGGTAGATGCTGTCAATCAAAGTTGATGTTTAACACTCTACCCTTCTCCATTCAGTTGTGTTAGAGAACTTTGCTTGGCTCATGTTAAATGGATATTATTTCCTTTTCCTTGCCTCCTTCAACCTGCCGACCAATGTTACGAAAATTATAACAACTAATTTCCATTTTGTCAGTAGACAAATTTTCTTTATGTATGTTATTTTGGTTAGGGGCATTTCTTGGTCCAATGGTAAAACTTTGGTCTGACAAGTGTGAGAACACAGGTTTGAGTATGAGAGTGGCCACTTTCTCTGAAAAAATGGCCAAGGTTAGGTTTGTATCCTGTTCAGCCCTTCTGAGAGCCCAGATAGCCAGGAGCAACATTGGGCAATGGCCCTTTTGGGTTAATATTGGTTGACAATTAGAAGTTTATTTTCTTTTCTTCAGCTTCTGTATTGTGTAGGCTCTCTTTTCTTTTCTTTTCTCTTGGGTAAATTTTGACAGATAATTCCTTTAGAAGTTTATTTCATATTGACATGTCTCGGTGTTGCTTCCCTCCAAAATTAATTGATTTTTTTTTCCTTGTAGAGGAGTATGGGGGACTTGGTCTTGGTTATCTATACCATTGTATAGCAATGGAAGAAGTTAGTCGTGCTTCTGGATCTGTTGGCCTTTCTTATGGTGCCCACTCAAACCTTTGCATCAATCAGCTGGTAAATGGAAAAATTCCAATTTTGGATCATATATATATTTATTTATTTCACATATAAATCTTGAGTAACAAATTTTTTTGAACAGTTTCAAGTAGTATAACGTCAATGATTTTGTAGGTCAGGAATGCAAGCCCTGCTCAGAAGCAGAAGTATCTACCTAAGGTTTCGTTTATTTATTTATTTATTTTTAGGCATGCCTACGGTTTTACTTGTACTTCCTTATTTTTATATGTTGATACTGTTGCTAGGCCTGACTACAAACGACATGCATTGGCTGACTTCATAACTTAGCAACACCAAATCTAAAACCAACAATTCTGTTACTTAGCTGGTGTTTTTCATTTGTGTTTAAAGAGGGTTAAATGAATTATGCTAGTCTTTCCTTTTCTCTTTTGTATATCATGCATATTTCAGTTGATGGTCCTTGGTAAATTTAAGGGATTGAATTGTGTTTTGGTCAGGTAAAGTTGTGCAACCATTTAATGCAACCTGATTTACATACTGTCTGTTACTTGTGAGATTCTTGTTCATCCTTCTAATTTTTGACCTGCCAATGGGTTCTTACTTCTCACATCATCCAATTACCATCTATGTTCCTTGTGGTCATGGCTAGCAGCCTAATTCTTGAATACCAGCCTCATGCGTAGGTGAGGCAAGTTAGAGAGAATAGCCAAGTTCCAGAGATCTCCATGCAGCAACTATGGATGGAAAGAGATGCAGGAAGGAGGGAGTGAAAAATGGAGGGACACCCTTGCACCCCAGTAGGAAAATAGCTTCCGCTTGTCCTCTTCACTTATTCTGAAACTCTGAGGAGTCTATTCTCTTTTGGTACTTAAAAAATCTTCAAAATATGCCTAGAGGCCTAGGCTGTACATTGAGAACTGAACAACCATTGTTCTGTAAAATAAATACAGAATCAGAGAGTTACAAGTCCATGTGTTTTCAACAAAATTTTGCCTTCACAATTACATATTGAATTTTTCATTTTTTTTGTTCATGAAATTTTGAACCTGTAGACCCACCTAAAAAGTTCAACTTATCAGTACTGTTGTATTGTTTTTCTAAATTCATTGTTGAATTTCTCTTTCTGACAAGATCTATGCATTTACCGAGCTCAGTCTATTTAATTTTACCATTTTCTATTGACTTCAGATGTACAAAACTAAGAACACTGTATCCAAGGCTTTGTTTCCTGAATTTGTTGCCTTTCAGAATGAAGGAATTAAATTGATTTTATTGTTGGTTGAGAGATTTCAACAAGCTATCATAGTAAACTGTCATTTTATTGCACCATGAGTTAGAAGTATCAAGACATATGCTTCTTAGGATACATTCATAGTTTTCAAGGCGCCAAGGCGAGGCTAGGCGACAGGGGGGTGCCTTGTTGCCTAGCCGCCTAGGCAATGGATAATTTTTTTTTTTAAATTTAAAAACATAGATCCTAGGGTAGTTCCCCAAGTACCATAACCATATTTCCTTAATAGTTATTAATACTTTTCATAAGAAAACTATAAAGTTCATGTTTAAGTATAGAAAATCAACATATTCGTGAGAAGAAAAAGAAGAAAAAAAAAAGAAATTTGAAAAAAATATAGGGGCTGAACCCTTATTTTTCTTATAGGAAAAGAAGAAAAGAAAAAGTAGAAGAAAAGAAGAAAATTCGTTGATTAGACAAAATTTTATGTTCTACCTTACTTATTGGTTTGGATTTTGAAGTCTTTGAGGGTTCAATATAGCATAAACCTAACAAATCAGAAAATAATAAAAAGAAATTAGTATATAAGCACACAAAATGAATATTTTAGTTTAATAATGTCTATTTTATAATTATAATCTCAAAAAATACAGAATAAAAAGTATTTTATAATCGAAAGTACAAAACTGCTTGGTGATTAGGCGAGGCAAGCCTCCAAGGGCGCTTTGTCGCCTAGGTGTCGCCTTGACAACTATGAATGCATTTTTGTTCTTTATTGGGTATAAATTAATCTAACACATGGGAACCATTGTTGGGGATCCACTTTGACTGAAAGGATGTTCTAGATATATGATGTATGATGTACTTGAATCCTGTTGAGTCATTAAAACAACATTTTGATTTCTATAGTATTGATCATCGAACCTTGATGATTACAAAAGTTTTTATAGAGAGGAGCACCTTATTATTATAGGTGTTATTGCTGTATTGCACCTTATCTTATGTCTAGTTGGGTTGAATTAAAAGCCTACATAATGCAGGCTTCATAATAAGACAATAGGGCAATTATTTAGGTCTTTATGATACCATTTAAATTAGACATGGGACCACAAATTAAAGAAATTAAGTGGGTTAAGTTAAAGGCCCATCTACTCCACTTAAGTTTGGGATGGGTAGGTCTGTCAATGATACCTGAAAATTCGAGGCCAGATCTGATTAAAATCTGGATCCGATTATATTATAATATTTATTAATTTTAATATATACATTTTATATAATTATATTTAAAATTATAAAAATATATTCTATATGAATTTATACATATAATCAATTTAGTATGTTATATTTAAAATAAATAATTTTTTAATTTTTCTGGTATTTTAGAAAATTTATAGCGGAGTCAGATTAAATAAAAGACTTAATCGAGCTTTAATTGAACAAAGTTCAGGCTTGATTTCTATTAGGCTCTATTTGAGTTTGATGCTGATCGAGTTCAAATCTCTCTCTCTCTCTCTCTATCTATCTATATATATATATATAATTTTTCAACTGAGCTGAACTCAAACTTATTGAATATTTAGTCGAGCTGAACATGAACAGGAAAATGGAGTTCAAATTAAACTCGAACTTGAATATAGGTGTATCTTAGTTCAACCAAGCCAAGACATGCTGAAGATTTTTTTTTTCTTTTTTCTTTTTTGAAAGTAGAAGGCAAAGTATTTCAATAAGATCAAAGAGCCATAATACAATGAAGCCTCTGTACAATGAGAAGCTGTACAGAGGGAATCAGCTTGCCAAAACAGCCACCCATCAAAAAACAAAAACTATAAATTCCTTACAAAAAGGAAATCTGAATCAAAAAGGAAGAAATATGTCTATTTTTGAATAAAGAAGGGTGGATTGCCAACCAAGACATCCCAGGCCAGGTAACTAGAACCTCCTTTCAAGTTTCAACTGGGTTCTGAGATTAGCAAACAGTTTGGCTGGTACAATGGCCAAACAAGTTGTAAATAGAGCCCAACTCTTTTGGAAATTGTACCACAATGATTGATGTAATTGATAGAAATTAGGGTTAGGTAGAACACACCAGCCTAACTTACTCTGGGAATACAACTCACTTGTGTATATTCTATTCTTTATTCCACAATCAATAAATTTTGAATGTTAACACTAAAAAAATGATTTCAGTCTCTATTCCTGGTTAATTATCTGAATATCCAAACAATATTGATCAATCATATGATTACAATAATCTAATTGGATGAAGATCACAATTGGAGGCCTTCCATTTGGATCCAATCTAGTGTTGGCTGGCCAAAAAATATATGCCATGTCCTCCTTATAATTTTCTCTTAGAAGCTAATATCATCAGCTGTTATGGTAGAATATTGAACAAGAATGAATACCATGTATGTTATTTGCATCCTACCAAGTAGTGTGGAAATTTCTAATTTTTATGAGTATTACATTTTCCTTTTGTCATATCATTGTAGGCATTCATATTTATCTTCCTCTTATAGTGCTTTTCTGCATACTAACTATATAATTACATCTCTTTAAAGCTTATTAGCGGGGAACATGTAGGAGCTTTGGCAATGAGTGAACCCAATGGTAACTGTTGTGGATTATTGAGCTTTTCTTATACTGTGGATTTGATGATAAAGACACTATTTTAACTCTTATATGGTCTTGCTTTATATATGATCAGCTGGTTCTGATGTTGTTAGCATGAAATGCAAGGCTGATCGGGTTGATGGTGGTTATATTTTAAATGGTAACAAGATGTGGTGTACCAATGGTCCAATTGCTCAAACTTTGGTATTCTCCTAGAATCTCTAGCATTGTGTATTCATATATCTAGCAATACCTATTTCTCATTTTATATAAGATCTAAATATTGGTATCACTTTTTCTTCTGCCTTCATGAAAGTTATGATCATGTTTAACTTTTGAAACCTATACTTAAATTGTATTTTGTTTTGCACTAGTGCTTCATAGTATTTCAATTTGATGTTAATATCCCCTATTTTTTGATTCATTGAGAGGAAAACTAGAATTTAACAATACAATATAATCTGCAAAAGGATGAGTAAACAACTAAAGGAATCCATAACTTTGAATTTATTCATGTTTGTTGTAGAACTTGCCTAGTTAAGCTGACAAAAAAAACTTGCCTAGTTAATTGCTTTCAGACTGAACTGGACCTGATGGTTGGAACTACCGTGAACATCAACCAGTTGCATGAAGTTTCTGGCCAATCCCTGAACATTTCTAGACAAAAGAAAATCTTATGCACTTATATGAACATTCAGTCAAGCCATGTCAATGGTTTGCAAAACCCAGACACTTCCATCCTTTTTAATACTATTGCTGCCAAGGATGGGGCCGAGGGCAACATGGTAACTTTGCTTATGTTCGAGGCCGATGAGTCCAACCTAAGAGCAGGGAAGAGAGCACACGTCAGAGGCCCTGAGTGTTATCCCAAGGGTGGAGACTCCGACGGTCAAGTTAGTCAGGTGCTTAAGGAGGGGTCGGACTAGGCTTGAGACAAGGGCTCCTTAAGAGCTCAAACGAGGCCTTTCGAGAGTAGAAATGCAAGAGAGCAAGAGTGAGCAAGATGGATTTACCTTGAGCTAGGCACCCCCTTTTATACTTGACCTTGTCATGGAGTGGTTGGAGGCAGTTAGAGATGGACGACCAGGATCTCAACCGGCCAATGCCACATGGCGCAATCCAGGGCCTTGCCATGTGCGCCTAACCGCCTACATCACTTCCCCCCCACTCTCGAGGTCGACCAGGTTGCTGAGCAGAGACCTCGACCTCAACCGAAGAGAGTAGTACATAGCTTCGTGGAGGCATCGGATGGCGTGTTGGGCAAAGGCCTTGGCTTTGATCGAAGAGAGCGTCATATGGCGCGGAGGCGTTGGCCTCGACTACTGAGAGTTCTTCTTAGTAACCCTGTGGCGATTGCTTCCTTGTTGACTTCTCGCCTCTTTGTAGGATCATGGTGGGCCAAGAGCGCGGGACCGTTCCCGATACAAGTGTGAGGCATCCGCGTTCGTCGGTCATGCTTTGTACGAGTGTCACCATGGATCTGTACACGGGACGGGCGTTCGCGTCGATCGGTTGTGGCTGTGTGCGAAACGGGTGGTGGGTCTCCCAATTTGGGTTGCTCCTGACCCGGAGTTGGCGGGTGGACAGGTTTGTCTTTTCGGCGTCGTTTCGTCTTCCCGAGGTTGATGCCATGTGGCACGCGTTGGTTCGGGCTGTTAGGTCGGCGGCTCTACAACCGCTGGATCAAAGTGATCAGAGCCGTACATTTTTCTTTAACTAAGGTTGCTGGTTGAGGCGGTTCCCCACCATTTTCTCGCTTCTGCTTGTGATCCCAAAGACCTCGACCACCAACCAGTCAATCCCTTAGTCTTCTTCCTCAAACTCGGTCACTAGGTAAAGAACTTCTCCTCGAACCATGTCGTATTTAGACTCCAGACCTGAGTGTTACGATCTTCCTGACCTGATTGACACCAACAGTCCTTCCACCTCGTCCAGTAGTGAGAGGACTGGCATTGAATCCGAGAGCTCCCCTTGGGTGCCTGGAGTCCAGGTACTGAGGGAGAGGACCACCCCTAGAGGCGCCAAGTGTGACTGACGGGGTAGGGAGTCTCCCGATGAAAGTACCGGCTCCACAAGGCCGAGGGGCGATGTCGCATGGAATGCCTTAGCGCATCTTGAAGTGGTGGAGCCGAAGGAAGCCGAGGACCCTACTCCTGAGGAGCTAGCCGAGGCCAAAGGCCGAGGCGTGACGTTGATGCGTTGCCCACGCTCCGATCTGGACAGTGAGCTCAGAAAGGCTCCGAGCTTACATCGACTAGTTCAAGCGGGAAGAGCTCGAAGTCAGAGACCTCGACCCCTCGGTATCCATGCACGCATGTCAACGGCCTTCGGTCCGGACCCCTCAAATGGTCCATCTCCAAGACACCGCCCAAGAACAAGGCCGAGTTCTTGAAGAAGGCACAGAAGTACATTGCTGTTGAAGAAGCTGAGGCCAGTGTGCGCCTCCATGAGCCAGAGGTTGACCCCAACCTAGGGTCGCTAAGAAGAAGAGGAAGGAAAGAGAAGACTGCGGCCACGACAACACCAACAAAGACAATGAAAAGAAGCCGCCGGCCCCTTCCTTCGACAAATATACACTTCTGAACTCCTCCCAAACACATATACTGATGCAAGTTGGGAAGAGAGCATACGTCAAAGGCCCCGGGTGTTATCCTAGGGGCGGAGATTCCGATGGTCAAGTTAGTCAGATGCTTAAGGAGGGGCTAAACTAGGCTTGAGACGAGGGCTCAGGGCTAGTCCTTAAGAGCTCAGATGAGGTCTCTCGAGAGTAGGAATGCAAGAGAGCAAGAGTGAGCAAGATGGATTTACCTTGAGTTGGGCACCCCCTTTTATACTTGAACTTTCCATAGCGTGGTTGGAGGCAGTTAGAGATGGACGACTAGGATCTCATCCAGCTGATGCCATGTGGCGCAATCTGGGGCCTTGCCATGTGCGCCTACATCAAATACCTTACTTTTCTTATTTCAAATGGTAACAAGATCAAGGAGATTTTATAGAAACAGCAAATGGAATTATTATCTCTATCATCCAATCTACCAAGGATGAGTAGACAAAGACCAAAAAGACGCCTTTCATAAGAGAAAGTAAGGCATCAACATGTACAAGTACACATGGCAAGTCTCCTCAATAGGAGAAGACAATCTGGCCATAAACATGCAAGATCTCAGGTGAGCTACTCCAGTAGGTGAAGGATTTTGTAGAAATGTATTTTTCCCCCATAACTTATTTGCCACTGTTGGAACTGAAATTTGCAACTTCACCAACCTATTAACCTTTTGGTATAAATTGATGACTGGGTATTTTAAACTAACAAACGGTAAATCTTAATTGAGTAACTTTTTGCACCTTAACTTTATTTCTTTATGCATACTTCAAATATTCTTTCTCATTTTAATTTATGTTTCTGATAAAAATAATGATAAAAAAATGTTTTAGGCCATAGCTGATGTCTGAATAATGGTGTGCTTCTGCCTTCCTCTTGTATTTTCCAATCTGCCTGATCTCATGAAGTTTTGATAAACCTTAGGCTAAAATCCCATTTCTAGAATCCTCCCCTTGTGGCCAGAGAAAAAGAAAAAGAAAAGCTTGCTGGCCAGTGACAGCGAGCTGTATAGTTAGTAGTTACTTTGAGAGTAAGCTGTTTTCTTCTTCCTCTTCATAACCTGTACAGTTATTGCTGCCTTTTATTTTATTATCTGAATTGCCAAGCGTTTTTTTTTTTTTTTTTAATTTCTCTACTCCAAATGTTTTCAATGTTTTTGTGTAACAACATATCAAATATTTCCCTGAAGTAATCAGTAAAGGATGTTTTCCCTTGTGGGGCTCAACATGGTAGCTTAGTTGACATATGGCAAAGAAACTATATGTTTGAGTCAAGTTTACCAACAAAAAGGAAGTCTTCTTTAGTTTGCTCTCTGATGATATATCTGTTATTATTTTTTTTTCTTCCTTTTATTTGTCACTGATATGGTGAATTGGATCAGGTTGTTTATGCAAAAACAGACATTACAGCTGGTTCAAAAGGAATCACAGCATTTATTATCGAGAAGGGAATGCCAGGGTACTTGTACTACATAAAACCTGGTTTACTAATTCTGGTTGAACTCTAAAACCTAAGAACTAAAAATTGTGTTGGGTTCTGACTCATCTCCACTAAAAATTAGGTTGATATGACAAGTCCAGTGTGTCATGGGCACATCATATTTTTCTCTTTCACTTAAAACAAGGACAGTATGGAACATAAGTGAAATACATGAGAAATTGTCTGTTTTTAGGTGTATGTGCAGACACATGAAAGTTATGTTATTGTTATCAATGCAAGCATGCATGGGCAAACACTATAGTAGCAAAAAAGCACATGCACGTAGAAATATAAATGAAGAAAAATCAGTACAAAGCATATTTGCAGAGAGAAATATTTGAAAATAGTAAAATAAATGGAAAAACAACCCAAGGGGATTTTCTGAATGTTTGTTATTTGGTGTAATATTTTGCAGCTTCAGTACTGCCCAGAAATTAGACAAACTTGGGATGCGAGGAAGTGATACGTATGTCCACAGTGCTCATATGTGATTACCTGTTTCTATTTGTTTGTTAGCATTAGCAGCAGGTTTTTATATACTCAACAATGATGCAGATGCGAGCTCGTTTTTGAGAATTGTTTTGTTCCTGAAGAAAATGTTCTTGGGCAGGAAGGGAAAGGTATTGGCATCATTGAGACCTCCAATCTGTCATTAGAAAAGCTCATTCATACTGAAAGAAGAGAAGTACTTTTAGCAAGTGAATGAAAAATACTACATGAATAGAACCTGATTTATCCTAGCATTCAGATGCTGAGTTAGATCTACCAAATAATTGCTGTTTATTTCAAATATCAGAATTGTTTCCTCATATTGGCACATTGCCAATGATCTTGGCCTCTTTCTCTTTCTATGTTTCTTTTTCTTTCTGGAAGAAAGCAGCTGATTTTGTTCATAAAAGAGAAAGCAAACGGATGTACACATTTTACAAAATATAATGCAGCCCCATCCTCAGAAAATAAAAAATTAGAAAAGGATAGAGCTGTTACTATACAGGAAAAGAAAGTAACAAGTAAAAATAAAACAGCTTTCCATATGAAAGACTATAAAGGATAGGATCAGGAATAAAGCCATCTGTAGAAACCTAGGAGTAGCTCCAATAAGTGATAAAATGAGAGAGAGAGAGAGAGAGAGAGAGAGAGTAGGCTAAGATGGTTTAGTCACGTTCATAGAAGACTACCAACAGCTCAGTTAGAAGAAGTGATTTGTTATGAGTGGAAGGGGCTATAAGAGCTAGGGGTAGATCAAAAAGGACATGGGTAAAAGTAGTAAGAAATGATTTAAGCACTAATAGTGTAACAGTGGATATGGTTTTAAATAGAACTGATTGGCGAAACAGGATTCATGTAACTGACCCCATAAAGTTGGGATAAGGCATGAATGATGATGATGATGATAATGAAAACAACTTTCCATACCCTTCCTATGTAGGTCATCAACCATGATATTTTGTTCCTCTGGGATCCACCTTCAGAGAGATGGGAATGAGCTAAAATGGTCTCTAATCTTATTAAGGTAGTGTATCAATCTCTGCAGGCCTGAACATTCTCTTTTAGCCCATTCGATCACATCAACTGAGATGCCAAAAACTAAAAGCATGGGAGGCTGCATTGTTTTTGCATTCCTTGAAGCAGTAAATAGCTGAATGGGGGAGCCATTTGGATATTTAAATAGTCCTCCAACTCCAGCAGGACCAGGATTACATAGAGAGTTGCCATCAAAGTGATACGTGGCTTGATCTTGTGGGATAGACACAGGAGCCACTTGTTGTCTTGTTCCAGTAACTGTTCAACCAAAATTATTTGGTTCTACTAAATCCATATTTTGAGATAATATTTTCTTGTTATTTTTTTTTGTTTGAAAAGGATTCATAGTTTTCTGATCAAAATCCTCTTAAATTTGTTGGTTATCAAAAATATCCACCTATATGTGTACCTGTTGAATTGGCATGAATCTCCACTTGTGCAAATTAACAGTTTTATAGCAATATTGCATGTAAAATGGAGATTAGGTGGCTTAAGCCAGGCTATTTGTAACAGGGAAATTTGGCATATTGTACATACTGATTCTTTCAGTTTTAATAAAAATTACAGTTATCCATCAAAAAAGCATATTACATGTCACATGACACCCTACAGGTTTATAAGGGCTCACCTCCCCCTCCCCCTCTCTAGGATTTATGATTTTTCTACCAAACTCTGGGGATTGTGTGAGCTTTTATTAAATATCATATAGTTCTTATGCAACAATTATTCTTTTCTTCAGGGGTCTATGTCATGATGTCGGGGCTAGATTTGGAGAGGCTTGTTTTGGCAGGTGGACCTGTCGGTCTTATGCAGGCATGCCTTGATGTTGTTCTTCCATATGTTCGCCAGCGTGAGCAATTTGGCCATCCAATTGGGGAGTTTCAGTTAATACAGGTTGACATCTAAACTCTAGTATTGCTGATGCCTTGTATAGGAATCAGTATTTGACTTGTGACTAAAGACTGTTGATTGACACTAAAATACAGGGTAAAATTGCTGACATGTATACTTCGTTACAATCTTCAAGGTAAGGTTTCTTATCTAACAATTTATGATTGTTATTTTTATACTTCTGTCTCAGTTTTCTTTTTTTTCTTTTTGATCAATAACGGTGAATTGAATTAAGCTTATGAAAATTACAAAGCAAGGTAGCTAAACAATCTTAACTCCCGAGTACAACCAGTGAACACCAAAAGTAAAGCAATTACAACACAGCCCAAAAGATAGAGTTTCTGTTCACCCCTTGCCTAGCTAGACCATCTGCCAATGAGTTTGCACTTCTCTTTACCCATGTGCATTGAATTTCAATGTCCTTAGTCCGCCGCTTAATTTTTCTCTTTTCATTGCTGTAATTCCAGAGCCTAGAGTTATCCTCTTTTAGTCAGTTCACCACAACTTCAGAATCTCCTTCTATGATCAACTTATTAATATGCATGTTTTCATCCCCTTGTCTAGGAAGTGATGACCTTTCATTGTACTATTTTTTTCTTTTTTTATTAATAAAATATTGCAAATAAAAAAGGAATAATCCTTTTTTTCCTGCCTGCACTTTTATATTTCAGATCTTTCGTATATTCTGTAGCAAGGGACTGTGACAATGGGAAAATCGACAGAAAGGTGCTTTAGATATCCTTATTCCCAATTTTTCTCTCATGCCTTGATGATTTCTGAAGCTCTAGTTTTTATATATTTGGTTTTTGTCAAAAGAAAATGAGAAGCATTCAGAAACTGTTAATCATTGTTTTAAAAATTGTAATCATATTGTAAATTGCAGAGAATGTTGAATTGAGCCAAATCGTGAATCATGAACTTTAGGATTTTATGTTTTTAAAAAATTGTCCAAAGAATTAAATATATATACTAAAGGTGTAAATATACAACACAAAATGATTTTACTGCACTTTAAAATCACATCCACCAGAAGTAATTACTACAATGAAATTTATCACTTGGCACTATTAGTATAATATGATATTATAACATTGACGTTAAAGTTGATTAACTCACACATAATGAATCTTTAACATATCCACAATGAAAAAAATGAAAAATAAAAAATTAAAGTGTTTAAGTAGGTTTTAAATAAACCAAATGTGCCTTATTCTAGTAAGGGTTTTGTAGCACAAAAGCCTCATCAGTTATAAAAATAAACAAATGACAAATTACCAAATTAAGTCATAAACTCATGATAACCTGATTGTTTCTAATTTTATGAATCAGATAAATTGTAAATTCAAGAAGAAAAAACAAAAGATATTTACAGAAAAAGATTTATTCAGAAGATGTAAATAAAACCCTTGGGATTCATGCTTTGGATGTTGAATCATGTTAAGCTGTAAGGTTAATGCAAATAGTCAATTTAATAGATTTCTGTAATCTTTACCAACTTGAGCACAATAATTGCAACTTCTGGTACATCCCTTTTTTGTTTGGGGGTGGATGGGAGAATGGTCAGATGGATATGATTGTCCATTTCTGCAAAATTTCCATTGGATGGAGATTTTTACTAATATGAGTGGGTTCAAACTTTTACACAGATCACCAAGGTGGGATCTGCGGAATGGTTAATCTCCCCCTTGTGCACAATTGTACTGTTTGTAGACTATTCTTTCCAATCAGTAGTCAATACCATGAGTTGATTCATTTTCTCTTCTCATCTTCATAATGCAATAATGCCTCACTGAAATAAAAAGCATGTCTAGATTCCTTGTCACATTTGTGCATTTTCACAGAATGATCAAATTAATATGACCAGTATGAAAAAACAAATTTTCAGGATTGTGCAGGAGTTATACTCTTTGCTGCTGAAACAGCCACACAAGTTGCTTTACAGGTGAAATAACAGAACATATATCACTCTCGTTGGTGCATGATTTTACTTATTCTTAATAAATTACTCCCTTTGATATCTTGAATGCTATTTGGTCCTTGCATTTTCCATCGTCTCCCTTGCCTTTGCGGTAGGACATTCATCTTATATACCAATATCCCTATCTCATAGATTGCTTAGATCAGCCAGAATACGATTCCTCCACATGGTAAAAGTAGGTGGAATCATCAATGAGCTTTCCTGATTGACCCAATTAGGAAATCTTAAACTATTACTAGTAGCAAACGTTTCAATTATAATATCTTAATTTTTTATGTTAATATGGCAGGCTATCCAGTGTCTAGGTGGAAATGGATATGTGAACGAGTACCCAACCGGTCGTCTTCTACGAGATGCTAAACTATTTGAGATTGGAGCAGGGACTAGTGAGATCAGAAGAATGATTATCGGTCGTGAGCTCTTCAAAGATGATTGAAGTGGCACGCTTTCACTAAGATTTGCTCAGTGGGTTAGCCAGCTCCTTCTAATGTCTTGGCTCAACATCATTGCTCGACAACTTCCCAATTGTTCCTCGCTGTATTCTGACCAGATTCTTCCCACAAAAAATTATAAATAAAAATAGGGCAAAATTTCTGATGCATTCTTTGGAAATTGTATCAACTATCAACATAACTAAAATTTTGATATAATATGCCATAAAACTATCAAAGTACACCATAATTGGGCTCTAAAAATAGATAATAAAATAAATACCAGAGTTTGGGGGACAAACAATAAAATTGAGTCCGCGTTCTGTGCATCCGTTGGTGCACTGGACACGTGAATCCGCCAATCACAGGCGACCACGTTGGCATTTCGAAAAAAACACCTACTTTAATGGGTGTTCAGCCGTTAGTTGAACAAACCCGGTTCAACCACCCACAAAAAGATAAAACTCAAAAGGAGGGCTTCTTTCCAGTGTAATATCTTTCGAACTCTCCCCTTCCCATCTCTTGTCCTCATCTAACCCGAGCATCTCGCCGGCCACTCACCACACACCGGCATCCTTGACTGTGGAATGGTGGCAAGAAATCTAGCATTTTGGCAAACAATTCATTTAATAGTTTTGTTCCGATGGAGATTGAAAAGTGCAGCTTGTTAAGCGTTCTTTATCTAGAAGGGAATCGCTTTTCCGGTGAAGTTCCTTCATAGAGAGTTAAGGGATCCGAAGATGTTATCTCTTGGAGGAAATTTCTTCTCTAGCCAGATTATCTGTATGAGTTGGAAATACTGAATCTAAGGCAAAACAACCTGACTGGCAGTGTGTCGAAAGAGCTAATGCGGTTGAGCAATTTGACTACTTTGAATCTCAATGGCAACAGATTTAATGATGAAATTCCTTCGAGTGTAGACAACTTACGAAGGCTACTTGTTCTGAATGAGTGGTAATAGTTTCTCAGGAAGGATACCTTCCAGCATTGGAAGTCTGTTGGATCTTAGGGCTCTAGATTTGAGTCGGAAAAACCTCTCTGGTGAATTGTTGCTCGAGCTTTCAAGTTTGCCAAATCCGCAAATAATTGCAATGCAAGACAATGCACTATCTAGAGATGTATCAGAAGGTTTCAGTCGCTTATTGAGTTTAAGGTATTTGAACCTCACATCAAATACTCTAGTCCCTGATACAAGTATGGTTCCCAATGCACAGCTGAAAATGGCTATGAGAACAGTGTGAGTACAATTTTGTGACGACTGAATCCACCCTCTAGAGAAAAAGGGGGAAAAAAAATAAAAAATCAACAGGTCCATTTAAGAACAATAAAACCTAATTAGCCTCGAAGTCAAAACCACGTGTAATACTAAAAAAATAAAAAAATTGCGCCCAATCGGCGTATTTAAAGAAGTGGATCAGGTACAAATTCTGCACCCAATTCGCTTATTCCCTTGATTGTTTTGCAAATATGAAATAACTTTACATCCATTGGGGGTAAAGTTTATACAGGGACTAGAGCATTTGAATTTCTTTTAGGTATGAAATTTGTATTACAAAAAGTGATGCAAATCTTATTCCCCTTCCTCACTCTTTCATTTTCTTCCATGTAGAGTGGTTGTCACATCATCCTTCCCTCCAAACAAAGCAAAGTAAAATTTGTGAAACAAGATTTTTCTCATCTTCATTCCAACACATTTACAGGTAAATAAACATAAACTTCATGCCACGAGACATTTTAAAGAAAAATCTTAATTAAGATGAAACTTCTAAAGGGGAAAAGAAGCAAATATTGTCAATTGTCACGTAACCCTTCCAAATCACATGGGACTCGTGAAATCTGGATCTCATTGGATAATCACCTGAAAATCCTTCTCCATTGACACCAAATAAAGCTAAAAGGGATCACGTCCTTGACTCCTACAAATTAATAACAGAAAAACATGAGGAAATTGAGATACCCAATGAAAGCATTTTCTTCCAATAAATAAACGAAAATAAAAGTATTAATCACCGACCTACATTTGAAGATATTGACTATTTAAGTGGCACAATTAATAGGGTAGGAGTACGTCTATAATTCATTATGAACCTTCCCAGATGATTCCCTCCCCCGGCCCACCAATTACAGTGATAAGTGGTAACCATTCTTTTCAACAGCTTTCAAATCCATTCTATTTAAATTTCCTTTGTCTTCAGTCTAAACCTAGATTATGAAGTGGCGATGGTAGATGGCTGGTGGGTGGTTTCTAGTAACCATCATACTCGTGACAATGATCACAAACCATGTAGAATGATGGTTAGAGAGCAGTAGAGCACTTCTGGGTGCTGGCCAAAGAGTCCCGACCAAAATCACTTAACAGGGCTTTACTTTTACCTAATACACAGGGTGTTTAGACCTGTACTCTGTAGGCTCTATCCTTTTGTCTTTAGATTAGAAGATCGTCTTGATTACTGTTTATTTCCCTAGCATTGCAATAATAATAATAAAAATGGAAGTTGATTAGGGCACATCCCCTTTTTTTCGTTTCTGATTAAATGGGCATTGCATTAGCGAAAAGACAAAGGAGTCACTGTTGGTTACCAAAGAGATAAAAATCAAAATATGGGGTGTTTTTGTCTTTTAGCGGACTTACTCACTATTGATCTGGGATGTGCCCCCATTTATTGGTTACCATCAAATCTTATCTCTCCACCAGGCAGACTTTATAAAGAACAGACACATTGCATATAGACCTGCTCACGGGCCAGGCTAGGTTTCGGGTTTAGCCATGAACATTTTACACTGTTTTAGTCTTGGGTTTCTGGCCAGGCCCATTCAAACTTTGGCAAAAGCTCAACCCTATTCCAGCCTATTAACAGGTCTAATTGCAGAATGCAGATGACATTATCTTAGCAAGAATAGCGGATTCAATCTGGTATTTGTTGATTATGGTCACTTGGTTTCCCTGTAGGCTTGATTAAATCCGATGTGCCCTCCTCTGCCCTTACCTCTTAATCCTGCTATCATGTGTATTATATAATGCCAAGAAAGAAAAATCAAGAAAGCGTAAGGGTTTGGAATCAGAATTGGAATGGGCTATTCTGATTCCAACTGTTTGGTTAGACAGAATTGAAATTCAATTCGTATTCTTACTGGGATGACAGTCCTCCATTTGAGGGAATGGCCATTCCCTGCCTCTCCCTTAGGAATGAAATCTCATTCTTACTGATTCCCATTTCTATTCCTATTCCTGTCTGGACCAAACAGACTACGAGAATGGATCATTCTATTTCTGATTCCAATTATAAATGCAAACCAAACAGACCCTAAATATGGCTACAGCTTTTTGATAAAATGGGCTCGAATCTCATTGAAGGTAATGACCAAATGAGCTTTCTACAGAAAGGGTATGATACGATAAATCAATACCTATCAACATCAAAATTCTCCATATTATTAAATTAAATGGTGCATCCTATCTATCTTGCCAACCATACTTAACCATGCTGAAGACAGAAATGTAATATCATGAGTGAGGCTGGCAAGGAATGCTCCTCGATATCTCATTTAATGTTTGTAAATGATTGCCTTTCTTTACGAAAAGCAATAAGGAATCAAGTAGAAACTCTGACAATTTTATGGGTCTGTTTGGTTTGCAGTTGGGATTGGAATCGGAATCATAATCAAAATCTTAATGGTCTATTCTCATAGTCTGTTTGATTCACACAAGAATGGAAATAAAAATTAATCTCTGTAGGAATGGGATTTCATTCTCAAGAGAGGGGCAGAGAATGGCCATTCCTTCAAATGGGGGAATGTCATTCCAGCAGAAATAGAAATGGGATTCTGATTCACCCAACCAAACAGTTGGAATCAGAATAACCCATTCCAATTCCGATTTCAAACCCCTATTCCTGAGAACCAAGCGGGGCCTAAATAACTTATCGAAGCCATATAAAGCCACATTGATCAAATCCAATTGTATACAATGGCTTCCTCAATCCTACCCAAGCTATATGCAACAAGACTGAAGAAATGCAAAAAAAAGAAGCTTTTGGTGGGAAGGAAGAGATGGAAAAAAATGAAAATATATACTACTTCTTTGAACAAAATTTGTAAAAACAGGAAAGATGGAGGAGGGTTGGGCATAGGGAAAGTAGAGGAAATGAATAAGACAATATTTGCAAGTCAAGTCTGGAGGCTTTTGAGTAACCCAAATAGCTAGTGGGCAACAATTATGAGAGCAAAATATCTCAAAGAAGATAGGCCATATAACATATAAATTAAGCAAAACTATTCTGAATAAGGAAAAAAAGATAGGAGCAATAAAAGAAATGAGGCTGTACATCTTGTGGGCAGTCAAACACATGCTCTTGGAAACCCATAGATATCAAAAGTCAAAGTGAAAAGCGCTCATGGATGTTGATGCAATAAAATAGATAATATCTTTAAATGAAAATGTGCAGAAGCAATTTTGAGAACACCAATATAAAATTTGGGAATGGACCAACTCCTATATGGAAGCCAAGCAAAGTAGGTAGTTTCTGGGTTAAGTGAGCTTACATGGAAAAATAATCTTACAGCAACAACCAAAATCCTCTAATGAAAAACATCAATTTTGATATGGACCATGAACATGAAGGTCCCACTCCCACCCACCCAAATATCAAATGTTCATGTGGAAACTATTTATGCAACGCCTCCCACCTACTGGACAGAAACTATGGGCGAATGACACCTTGATGGGTTAAGGAATCAGAATTACAGCTTTGACAAGTAGAGTAGAGAAACAGAGCTCCATCCTCCATGCACTCCACTACACAAGATGAGAAGAATATTACCAAGCCAAAAACCGAAAGGTGGATCACCTTTTGGTGCAGTCAGATGCGAAAAGGAATGCAAAGGAAACAAGCCCATGCCACATGGAACCAATTAATGCTTTTCTTTTCTAACAGATCATTCACCTTTTTACAGTTTGTTGATAACCTTATAATATTCTAGTATCATGTATTAGCATTTAACTGTTTTGCTTTTGGTTAAATAAAAACTTGTTCACAAAAAAAAAAAAGAGAAGAAAATCAATCTTTTTTTTTTTATTGTGATAGGTTCAGAAAATGAAATAACTAGCTCTGAATCTGATGTTGTTTTAAGTAAGTAGTGCTAAAAAAGTAAGAACACCCAAAGAAGCCACTATGGAATACGGTGGAGATTTGATTCTGTACTTAATTCCTCCATTCTAATTCTATTATTCTAACCCATTAAATCCACCCTAATCTAAACGAATAAGCAAGTTGTGACCAACAGATCTCGGCCTTGGTGTGCCCAAGAAGGATTACACCGCAACCCTTTATAGGTAAGGGAACAGGGAACGGGGTTACTTAAAAAAAACGAAATGAGTGGAGGGACCAGGGAGGAAGGAGACAAGCAAGTTCTGGTTCTATCTCTATCTCATTTGCAATTTTCACAAACGAAAGAAGGGAAATATCTGGAGCAACTTCACTTCAAACTTTCAAACAGAATTAAGGGTTCCTTTTATTTTTTAATTTGATTTGTCATTTGAGACAAGTTGGAAACATGTTACTTTCTCTCCATTGAATGGGTTTTTAGAAATACGTACTGTAGGCTGTGGGGCTGTAGCTGTAGGTGAGCGTGGGCACAAACCACAATATATAGAAATATCTGGTATCCACTTGTTGATATTGAGAAATTGACGTAGTGTCTTACATAAGCTAGCGCCTTGCTTTAAACCACATGAAAGGAAAGCATCGCAAAAGAAAAATCAAAAAAAAAAAAAAAAACAGAAGAAGAAACCCAGCACGTTATCAATTTCAATTATATATATATATATGTTGTTTGACAGTTTCATTTCTAATTAGTCGTGGTTTTCAAATATTTTGATAAGTCTTTGGACCAAAAAAAAAATAAAACTTTGATAAGTGAAGGACAGTGTGGATGACTGATGAGGCCCATAAGCATAAGCATAAGGGGGGGAGGGTGGGAATTGCTTGGCAAACAAGGCAGTCCCAGCCAAAACAACATAGACGCCATCCTTGACTTTGCTTTGCCTAATTGGTTTATAAAAAAAGTCTTGGTGCTTTCTTTTGATCCATTATTGCCATATCTCTGAATCACAATTATTGGCTCCACGGCTCTCCTTCACCGTCGGATTCACAAATGATTGTAGCACAAAAAGACGATGAGAGATAGAGACTCATCATGAAACCTTTCATTCTTTGAATTGAAAAGCAACAGCACTTTCATACACAATATTAATTATCTTCTTCTTCTTCTTCTTTTATTTATTTATTTCTTTTGAGATGAGCCATTCCTCTCTCTCTCTCATGGTGCCTTATTAGTCTAGTGTAGAAAAATAAAATAATGAGATACTACAATCCTTTCTATCAAGTCTCTTCTTATATAATAATAGATGACATTTTACGACTACGACTTGAATACCCTCCTGCCAATCCAACAAATCAAAGGTTTGTGCAGGGCCTGGGGGATGCCTACACAGACTCTACTCTAGTTTTCTATCCGGGTGATACAAGTTCCATCACCAGGCTGAAGCTGAACCGGACCTTTCCACCACAACCGACAACTCAATGAGTTTATCCGTCAAAACAATGCTGACGTGGTGTACTTTGATTGGCCCACTTTTACGAGTAGACAATTACAACTCTCTGGGAACAAAAATCCACTTATTAACAACGCATGTACTATGTAGGGAGAATTGTCATCGGTTGGTTGATTCGGATGTGATTTATCACCGTCCGAAGCAGCAGCTAGCAGTGCAGTGCACATAAGATAGGATAGGAATTAGGGCCATGGTTGGTTCCATTGAAGGGATGGGAATTGGGAATCAAATATCAGATCCCCAATTAATAAGGGTCACCCATACCATATGATAAAAGCCAATCAAAATTTCCCCTAACATTAAGAACGTATAAGATTCAGAAAACTCGCAAGTCTAAAACAAAATCAAGATGTCAGATGCGTTGTCTTTCTCATTCTGGTGTCACATCTCCATTCCACTGAATTGAGATTTGAGAAAGCGGTTGTCTACGTACCAAACTGCAAAAGCACTTACTCAATCCGAGTATAGACGAGAGACGAGAGACGAGAGACGACCCACTAGCTCAAATGAAATGGTCAAACGGCGACCCTCCCAGTCCCAATAGGCACAAAATCACACCCAACCCCACGTAACTGCAACTCCCCGTGGTAAGAACGTGCGTGCACCATGCTCTATCCCACAAACCATACCATCCTACAGATTACAATATCATCTGCTTGTTTAATCCAAAAAATCCCAATCCCTCCGTCCGCCGTTCTTACTGTCACCTCACCGACTGGAGTTTAAGAAAATCAAATCATAATCAATCCATCACTTGAGAGAGAGAGAGTCTGTGTGTGTGAGGAAGTGTATCAGTTATCGTCCCATATATAGACCAGGGCCAGGCCAGACGAGACTGTACATCTTTTCATGCCCAACATTATAATTAATTCCCACATCTGCCAAAGCCAATCCTTTTTTCTCAGGTCCCAGGAAGGAACAATTCAATACTAGCTAAGAATAATAACTCCCATAATCGCCTACTGAAGAGTCTTCGCCCCAATTGGCTCGCAACAATTTACAAGTGTAGAAAGTCCCCTATGATATCTACTTCATATCCTGTAAAATGATGACATAGCGGCTACCTTGTGACATGATAAAAGGAATGTTATTTTCAGCCCCTAACTAAAACTAGGTTTCCTGGAAAGTCTACACTAAAAAAATATATCAACCTGAGCTAATAGCTATAGGAATCCAAGTACCATCAAAGAGCGCCTGGGTGAAGGAAAAATAGCAACCATGCATCCTGAACAAATAGGGTGGGGCACAAGCACAAAGAATTATGGATGGCATCCACATTTTCCGAAAACGCATTCTAAAAACGCCAACCCTGATGAATTGCATGATATTTGATACCTTCAACTTTTATGATTGAGGCCTCGCCTCTGGTGAATTAAATAGTTGGGCACCATGAAAGAAGGATTACTGAATACAGCACAGTGCCGCCCCTTTGGATCATTAAAGAAGGATTGGCTAGCGCATTAGAAAGAATTAGCATATTTAGGATCATCATAATGGCAGAGGCTTAATTTTGAAAAAAGACCAGACATAACAGATTTACTAAAACCCACTGCTGAACACATTAGAAAATACCAGTTCCAATGGAAACAATAAACTTCACCTACACATCCATAGGTACTTGAAAAAATAGACAGCACCTACCCCTTGAAGAATCAAACATGCAAAAAGAAATTAATGCCTATAGTCATATTCACTGTTTATTTATTCCAAAGAGAACAATTTCATCGAATCGCAGCACTAAAAGACACTTCCACATGACATAACCATGATGAATGTCTATACAATATTTCTCCATCATGCTTAGGAGATAATTTAGTCTGATAGAACATCTTTCAGACACTAGTACACCCAGGGTCTGCAAAAACCTAGTTAACAGAAACAAATATGATATTAACTTCATTCTAATTTAAAAGAAAAAGAAGTTAGGTTGCAAAATTCTTACCACCAACTTTATAACTTCAAGTTTGAGGCTCCAGAACAATCCCATAGTTGCAAGAGAGTGCCCAATAAAGTTGAACTATTTTCCTTCTTAGATTTCATTTATGGTACAAAGTTAGCAAATAAAGAAAACTGGCCATGGTATCCACCCTTACATTTCTCAAATCAATTATTCTTTCAAGTCAATAGTAGCTCGTTGGCTCCAAGGTGAGGACGAAGGCACACTCGAACCTCATGTTCTTCTGGTCCCACACGGTGCTTTGGCACTAAAATCTCTAGCACTGTTCCTGTCTCATCATAGTATGCTTCTAGTGTTGCATCTTCTGGAATACGAGCTGCAAGTGGGATTTCCCTTATGAACTCTCCAGGAGGGCAGTGCTCAGGAGATGGATCAGTAAGCTTGAACGTCCTATCATGTCTCTTGATGAATGGCATGCGGGCTGTGCTCACACAAGATATCTTTACAACCCCATGAGTGAGTGTGTTTCTCCAAGAAACTTTCACCCTTTGAAGATCAGCAAAAGGCACACTGACGATGATCAAATACCCTTCTTCATTCTCATAAATGGTTTTTGCAGCTGTAACAGGGCCATGTATATTCCTCATTACACCACTAAAATCGTTCAACCATAGTGGCTCAAATGGGTGCATCTCCATGTCTGGAACTCGCTCAGAATGCGAATTAATAGGCAAACAACAATCGTCATCAATCCCATGTGGGAAAAAGTCCTTCCTCCTCTTGTTGCTAACAGGCGAAAGGTCCATACCATCACCATTGACATGGTTAGATGGTTGAGTTGACAAATTCAAACCAGATCCATTAAGCAATCTCCTTGGGTGGGAGTGTGTGTTACTCTTTATTGGAGGAGGGGGCCTCTCAAGCTCGAAATCTGTGTTTGGGAGGTTCCTCCAGGCAGCAAAATCACTTGCTTCAGGTGGGATGGAGAAGTTCAAATCCCGTCCTGTCAGCTCCATCCATCTTTTCCGCTCTTCCTCATCAAGACCCATGAGATTTGGCGACCGGACAACCTCAATACCATGCACGCATTGGGGGTTTGAGAGGCCCCTGTAATGCTTCCTCTGCATCCTGTGGGATCGGACGAAGCCCTTGTCCACGCTGAATGGAAAGGGCCGCTCCCCTTGGCGGGAGTGCCCATTCATGTAACTCCGTAGCTGCATCTTACCGAGAGCATTCTCAGGCCTTTCTTTGAAGACCCACATGTACATGTTCTCCATATCATGCTGAACCAAGAAAACATCAAGCTGGAGGTCCAACTTATCAAACCCAGAAACCCCATTGCTGTCCCGGGTAATCTTCCCCTTAGATTTCTCATTCAGAACAGGCTTGAAGTAGAAAGTGAAGAAAAACCAGGCGCCCCAGATGGTATCAACCCGCTTGGCACATTTCCGCCCAGTCTTAGGGAGATGAAGGAGGGCCTCTGTCTCATAGATCTGAGACCCAAGACCGACATCTAGGATATCACATGCGTCCCCGTTCCACGGCTGGGGAGGTGGGCTCCTTTCGGCCGACAGTGGGAGATTGATATCGGGCGGGCGAGAGAGGATTATCTGCCGATTCATCTCGCGTTCCGATTCATCGTGCGAGTTGGAACTTGAATCCATGGACAGGAGAGTCGACGGGTGATGATTCTCCATGGATAGGGTTGTGAGGAGAGTTTCTCCCATTTCCCCCCTTTATCTGTTCTAGGGTTTCTTTTTTGTTTTCAAAGCTGGTTGGGTGGAATTTCTCAGTCCACCCGAGTCAACTATGGCATCTCATAATTCATAGATCAATTACAGAAGGAAGACACAAAACAAACCCCAAATTCATCAATCAATTTCACCAGGAACCCAAAAGAACGACATTAAGATACAGAGGTAACACCAGAATCAAAATCCCTAACTAAGAAAATCCCAGAGAGGTTGAACAAGGACATCAAAACAAAATTAAATCAAATCAAATCGCAAACCCAGAATATCCTGAAATTGGTCGAAAACAGGAGACAAATATGATATCACGGGAATTGAATCCATCAAGATGAAGATTTTCAGGGGACGAGCCTAAAAATCTAGAAACCCTAACCCTAGAAAAGAGAAAAAGAAACCCAGACGCCCAAACGAAACTAAAAGGATCTTCAAAGATTACCTTTTCATATAGGATGTGAATCCCTTGCAACAGAGACCTTCACAAGCGATACTCATCTTCTTCACCCAGTTGTTCCGTGACTTCCGTCAAAACAAGCAGAAAGAGAGAGAGAGAGAGAGGAACGATAACGGATTCTGTTTAAACAAAGTACAAACCTACACCAGGTAAGTTGGTAACACCGAAGTACATAGTCCTTGCCTCCTTGGTCCTTACAAGGTAGAGCCGTTTGTAAAATCGCCGTCACCGTTAGTTAATGGTAACGGTAAATACGGATATGAGAGGAGAGGATCAGAGGAGGTCAAACAACGCGTCGAAGGAATAACCGAATAAGGGGACTTGGGCATCTGCTTTGCCCCTCCTCTTGAATTGATGAGATCCCATATTTTCTTCTCCTTCTCGTGGTGGACTGGTACCTGTTCACGGGCCGGGCTTCGGACAACTTTACACTGTCTCGGATTCGGGCTTCCGGCTGAATTCATTAGAATTTCGAGAAAAGTTAGGCCCAAACCCGGCCCATGACTAGAGGACCGTGGACCATCCCACAACAACAACAACAATAAAACCCTATTTTTTCTCTCTCATCGATTTTTGAATTGTTGTTGATTTGGATAGTCAGACTGTTCAGGCAATTGGTTCCATTTTACCCTAAATCCGGTCTCTAGCAAAAAATTGTTGAATCGGTCAACGATCTTTTGATCAAGGCGATTGAACCGTTGACCTGTCAACCTATTCAATGGTTTTGGCCACTTTTTTTCTTTATTATTATCAGAATAAACCATCTGTTCAAACTGGACGAACGAACCATTGGCTCAAAAACCAATGGTCAGAACGATTCCGTTTTTGGACCGTTTTTTAAAACAATGGAAAAAAGAATTTGCTTTTGCGAGTGATGTGGGCATGTGGGATTTGATGGAACATGCAAATGCAATGTGTGTGTGTAAGCTTAATTATGTTGGCAAAATGGTTTCCATCTTTTCAACGCTTTTAGACATTTTATTTATCTATAAAAAAATGGAAAGAGAAGATGCATTCAATTTAATAAATGAGAAGATTAGAGTATATATACTTTGTTTAATTAGTCTCCCATTTGTTTGTTTAAAGTTGATAACACTACAAGATGATATGATCATGAATCATGATGCAGGCATATATCTATATATATGTTGCCTAAATCTAAAAAGTGAAGTGTGAAGTGGTTATTTGTTTTGTTTGGTGGAGTAGTAGTAGTAATTAAGTTATAGTGGGTTAAGAATAAGGATCATCTTATATTATTATAAATCATTGGCTTAAGTTAAAATATATAACTACTGAGGCATAGCTCTAAAAGTAGATCAGCTAGACACAAGCTAGAATTAAAGAATATAGATTCTTGTGCTTTATATCTCCATTACTTAATTTTACGGTTGATGGTGCAAGCTTATTAGGAGATACACCGATCATCTAATCTAGTTATTGTCCTACTGTTTGTTTATTCAAAAGTTAGAGCAAACATATGAACGAGTGTGAGTGTTCCATTCCAAATAGGAAAGGAGTGTTTGTTCTTGTTGTTTGTACATACACATAAAATAAAATGATAGTTTGTGTGTATGTGTGTCTGATAAGAGCAAAGAAAGGAATCTTCTTTATACGGATTACGGAGCGCGGGGTTTTCATCTCTTGGAATTGACCTGATTGATCACTAATTAGAGATGAGACCATACTGATACTGACAATTAATGACTCACAAATTGTAGAGTTTGATGCAATGTTTGCAGTTTGATTTGCAATGGCACCCCGCACCCCCAAGCGTCCAATAATTCAGTGAGGGGAGTTTGAGTCGATACATCGATTGCACGTGATTATTCCTTTGGCTCACTTTGGAAGGAGTACAAATACAAATACATAGAGTGCAAAATCTTACATTTTGTATGTATTTGTATTGTACATATTTATATTTGTATTCCTTTAAAATGGAGCCTTAGGAAAAATTTCTTGTACTTTGGGTCTAGTGTCACTTTGGTATGTGAACTCTAAAAGACACAAAAGGATTGCATTTGAAAAGAGAAAAGGATTTGGGACACTATTCAATAAAGTTTGTTAATGTTTGTATGGTTGATAGAGAAAATTAAATGACACTCGAAGGACATTTGTGTCTAAAAGACACATATTTATATTTTGTTTGACTGCAGTCCCAAATCCTTGCCTTTCTATTCAAGAAAGTTGGGGTCACTAGAATGACCACTGAGACATGACTCAAGCTTTCTTGAATAGAAGAGAAAAGGATTTGGGACTATTCATTTTTTGTCAACGTTTAAATGGTTAATAAAGAAAATTAGATGACACTCGAAGGGTGTTTGTGTCTTTTCAAATGCCACTTAATGACTGGTTAGCGACAAGTACTTGACACGTTTTGAAAGTTTGGGTATTAAATTATGGTGTTTTAAAGTTCGGAGACCAAAGTAGCACTAGGCCCAAAGTACGGGGTACTAATGGGAAATTTTCCCTATTCCATATTGTAGTGCAGCACCAAAAAATTGCATTTTGTGCTATTACTTTAGAGCTAGGGTGATTTTTCGTTTTCATGAATGATTTTCTGCCACAAGTGGTGTACAATTTATAGTCATCTCTTCGTTTAATTTGCTGCACCACACAAGACCACCACCTAACCTTCCTTCCTCCAACTGCAACACAACCCATATCCTTCATCCATTTTGACATGCCCACATTTTCCATGAATCCCTGCTCTAGGTGGTTAACTTTTAATATTGACCAAGGGGTGTTCTTTTTTTGGATTTTGAGAGGGGGAAAGTTGGTCAATGGGATTTTGGTTCTCATTGACCAAGAATTCCATGTTCATTTTTCAGATTTATGTGGGGGCCAGGGAAAGTTTATTTTCTTGGTACCCATCTCCTAGGTGGATAAATAATTTTTTCACCTATGAGAAAAGTTTCTAACACTTGAATGGGACAAAAATGCCCCTTTTAATAATGAATTTTTATGGCTAAAATGGTCATTGCCTTATTTTCCTGGAAAATAAAAGAACATGGGTAAATGCACTTACTCGGATAAGTGTTTCCTAGGAAAAACTTACTTAGATAATTGCATTTACCCAGATAAGTAATTTACCAAAAAGTGAACGGGGGAGCCTAAGTACTAAGTAGGGTTAATCATCCACCAAAACAAAAACTTAGTGACCTGTTCATGGGTTGGGCTTCAGGCTCAATTCTTGAACATTTTACACTGCTTTAGGCTTGGACATTGGGCCAGGAGTAATCAAATTTTGGCAAAAGTTCAACTCGAGCCCAATTAATGAACAGGTCTAGATAAATTTATGATGCTAGAAACTCTCTTTCCAACAATAACATTTTCCTAAATTCGTATTTTATGTAAAATTATATTTTTATTTCAATAATTGCTCTATCCGCTATCTCACAAAAAGTTTCTTAGGCTGTGTTTGGTTGCAGTGCAAATTTATTTGCACTAGTACAAATGCATGGGAGTGCAAATGTAAAAAATGTAAATTCTGGTTTAATTTTGTTTTGGATTTTACTTTATTCTGCTTTGTCTTAAATTACTTCATTGTACTGCAGTCAAACAAAATAAGATACAATTTGAAACAAAAATAGGTCCGAATTTACACTCAAATCATTTGCATTGATATGATTTTGCATAAATACAAATTTGTTAACATTGCAACCAAACACAGCCTTACATTCAAACAAATACCAGGTAGAACTTGTACAAAGTCCAAAATCCATAAGACTCAGTTTGGAAGGAGTATAAATATAAATTTGTAGAGTGTAACACCTTGTATTTTGTATTATTTTATATGCATTTGCACTGCACATATTTTAATTTATACTCTTTCCAAATTGAGCCTTAGGCATAGTTTGGGTAGAGTATAAATACAAATATACTCATTGCAAAAGCTTATATACAGTCCTTCTACACCTCCTTGTATTTATATTCTTCCCAAACTGACCATAAAAATTTAAAAAATAAATAAATAAACTGGTATGAGAAAACATCAGTAATGAAGACCCAATAACCATTATTCTCCTTTCACAAGAAAATCTCAAGAAAAATTAATATTAATTTTCAAATAGAAGATTACTTAAGAATGATTTTTTATTTCCTCATAAACTCAAGGCACTATCCCAACAATCTCTACCTAAGCTTAAATTTCATCAATAACTAAAACACAACTTTTATATCTTTTTTAGTCCAAGCTCATCATCATACATGCCTATAGTTAGTTAATGTAATATATTTTTTAGATGATCATCTTTATTATCAGCTTGTATAGATATTATTAGTTCAATAGAGCTAAGAGTCTGATTTGTATTTTTTTAATCTTAAGTTATTAGATCCATACATCAAGCTCTAGATCACTCTGAAGTAGGAGTGATTATGGGCCAAGCCAAACTTAACATATAGGGCTTAATTTAGGCCTGGGCCCGACTGCGTTTTCAGGCCCACAAAACTCATATATTAAAAATATGTCCGAGGTAGGAATGATGCCTCCTACTCCAAAGTCCAAACCTATTAGTCATAAGTTGGAGTAGTAGTTGTTACAAGGAAGTATAATCATGCAAATTGATGGCAACACCTGAATAGAGAAGATAGATGATGATACATATAACAAATAAACAGATTATAGATGGTTTGGTATGGATTGAGACCATTAAAATATAAAGCGACTAATAATTAATAAGATTACAGTGAAATATGGAACCTGAAAGAGAGCCAAATTACTTATGAAATGACAAATATATATACATCTTTTCATTGTCGTTATTCTTGAGAGGAGAGTCCTAAAGGTGTTTTTTCTTTATTTTCCAACTTGGTACAAACCCAAGCATCTAGCATTCTTTTTCTTTAATTTATACTTTCTATTTAGTTATTTAGTCAGTTATCCATTTAAGTTTTATATAATAATACTAGGAAGCAAAGTTTCATTCATAATAGTATGGAGAAAGAGAATAAAATCATTTTTAAGAGTGATCATTTCCAGCCTGACCCATCCTAAAATTTTTTAGGTATCGCCTTGGTTTTGTGTTCAAGCTCAGCCTGTAATATATTAAATATAAGGGTAAAATTTTTAAATTATTTTTATGGTTTAGTTAATTGATTAACTCTATTTTTATTGTTTACATATTGTCTTAAATTATTTCTAGTTTTTCTGACAATTGTTTAAAACCTCTTTTATTATTAATTTTTCGTTCCGTCATTACATGTGATATTACGTGATTGATATATTTTCCAAAAATTTCTAAAACACTATTTCATTTAAGTCCACTCCATCTCTATCTCCTTCACTGGCGAGGGATCTGCCCAGCCCCAGACCGATTTATCGATCGCCATCAGGGGCGGAGT